CAACCCCAGTGTAGGCTTGGTCTTGGAGGTGGGTGGTGGTGTCACACACCCAGAGAGGAAGGATTCCTAGTGGTGTCTGCTAGGAAAGGAGAACATGATATAAATGATCCCGAGAGAGGGTGGCAGTTGGAGCACTAGTAGTATGGGTTTGGGCTTGCATATAGCTCAGAAGACAGGTACATTGGGTCTGATCCTGCTTCTTTACCCATTCTGTGACGTCAGACAGTCATTACCCTCTATGTGCCTCAGTTTGCTCCTGAGTATATACCCTCAACTAGACTCATGAACTCTCAACTAGACTAGACTACCTGCAGAGTGCTCAGAGCAGGGCCTGGCATCCAGAGAATGTGGTCAACAAAGGTTAGTATTATCATCATCATTTGCAAGTATTGCTCTTTGTTAGTATTGGTGGGTGAACCTTTAGTGGAGTAATTAAGTTTAGAAGTTTGAGCCATCTTCTATGCTTCCCAGGCACATTGGCAGGGAGTTGGATTGGAAGTAGAGCAGCTGGGAATCCAACCAATGCCTATATGGGATGTTGGAGTCGCAGGCAGGTTAGCCTCTCCACCACAATGCCAGTCCCAAGCTCTTTCATGCTCTCCTTTTTGAAGTGGAGTTTCCTTCCCCATCACTCTTCCATGTCTTCAGCATTGACACTAAATAAGAGGACACTGTCTTGACCACATTTTACTTTTGCAAGTCTTGAAAATAGCTATCACATCTCTTTGGGTTTCCTAAAGAAGTGCAAGCTAAAAATGTCTATTTTCTCCGAATTGTTTTCCACATAGCTTGATCCCAGGCTCCTTCCATCTTGGGTTTCCCAGCAACGAACACTTTATGGTTTAATATTTTCTGTAATAAAATGCAGCTTAGGTTCCAGATGAGACCTGACCCATGCCGAGCGCCATGAAGTCAGTGGCTTCCAATGATCTGTTAGGCTTTTGCTTTGTTTTGTTTTCTGGCTGCTGTGTCATGATCTTGGCTCACACTGAGCCTGACTTCAATAAAACCCCTGCATCTTTTCACAGGCTTCCTGCCAAGCCACAGATCCTCCTTCAGAATTTGTGGAATTGATAGTTTTAAAAATAACATTCACATTTTCTCCTATTATAAACAAAAATACGCAATCATTGCAGGAAATCTAGAAAATGCAGTTAGGTAAAAATTTTTAAAAATCAGCAATCATCCTGTTATCCAGAGAGAAGTTCAGCTGACCCTTTAACGATTATTAGGGATAGCAAACTCAAATACCAATAGGGCCCAGGTAGGCATGAGAAATGAATGAAAAAGTCTGGGAGGGAAACACCAGAGCACAGCAGGGCCTGTTGCCATCTAAGGGTGGAAGTTCTCATCAGCTCCTGGTCTACATTTTTTTGACTCTGTAAAAGCAAAATGTTATGGGAAATATTCTTATTGATTATTGTTATTAATTGATATTGGCCAGAGAATTCACATTCTTGGTCTTTCTTGGATACTTGAGCTCCTACTGTGTGCTTCACTGGTGTGTATCCTTCTACTTGGCCTTCCTTCCCACCAGCTCTTGGAATAACCCCACTCATCTTTGTTGTGTCGTCTAACAACCGACAGTGACTTTTGATCACCTAAGTGAACTCCAGGTGTCTGCAGAGCTAACTGCTCCTTGCTGGCTGCTCTGGCATTGTCCCCGTGTTTCATTTAGACTCACTTCTCCCCTGTCGTCTGTTTTCTTTCTCTTTCCCACTGCAGAGACTGTGCTGGGTTACATCCCTGCATGAGCCACACTCCCTTTTCATATCTCTCATGCCAAACACAGCATTTCCAACAAGCTTTCGTCCAATGCGCTCCCTCCCTTTGCTGCACTCACACTCTCAGGCTGTGGAAAACCTCAACATTCACAGCACAATCACTCATGTTCATAGCTCTGCACTTGACTAGTTGTACAACCCTGTGATTTTTCTGAGACTTACTTTGCTCAGTCTTAATGTTTGAAATCATAATGCTTACCTTAAAAAATAGTAGGAAGATTAATAATACTGGATATCAAGGATTTTAGGAATCATTGCCATTGACATCATCATAATCCTATGCTTGGGTTTAGTAAGTACCTGTAACTGTTCTTCCCAAATAGATTGCACTGAGGGGCTGGCATTGTGGTGCAGTGGATTAAGCTGCCACCTGTGATGCCAGCATCCTGTATTGGAGAGCTGGTTCCAGCTGCTCCACTTCCACTCCAGCTCCCTGCTAATGGGCCTGGGACAGCAGCAGAAGATGACCAAAGTAATTGGGTCCCTGCCACCCATGTGGGAGATCCGAATGGAATTCCTGGCTCCTGGCCTCTGCCTGGCCCAGACTAGGCTGTTGAGGCCATTTGGGAAGTGAACCAGCAGATGGAAGATCTTTCTCTCTATCTCTCTTTCTGTCACTCTTCCTTTCAAACAAATAAATACATCTTTTTAAAAATTCATTGAGTAAATACAAAACTATGAGCAGACTGAAAGATCCAAGTTTTAAAGACCCTCAAAAAGTTCAGGAAAATGGAATTTGGAAAGTTTATTTTTGTGCAAAAATTCTGAATCCATACATATGAGGAATTTTCAAAAAGCTCATGGAAAATGTGTTTTATGAAAAAGCTATGCATGGATTTCCAAAGTTTTTGCACCAAAATAAACTTATCATTTAATTACATTTTCTGTGAACTTTTCAAGTTCCCTGGTACCTTTAAAGGCAGTGATACAGGGAAGCTTACTAAGCTGAGAAAGGAAGAAAAGAACTCATGCTGAGGAACTGGTTTTTTCCCATGTGACCCTGTCTTTTCTATGTTCTGGATGAATACGGCATCAAAACAAGCATTCCTCAGAGTGGTATCGGTGTTAATTATGGGTACTCTGATTTTTCAAGTGCTTTAGAATCAGAGCTCTCCACTCCACCTTGCTGGGACTGTTTTACTCTGAGAGATCTGTCCCACGGTTATCTAGTGGCTAACTTTTCCTTGAACATCTAATGAAGGTCTAGAAACATCTATGTTGCAGTGTCAGCCCCTAGACAGGCACTCACTCTGCTCTGCCCACTGGCAGCTCTTCCCAAACCCTGAAGCCAGGAACTACCACATGATATTAGGGTGTTTCATTGCCCGAATGTATATGTTTTGAATAAGTGAATGAACAAAAAAAGCTCAATGCAAATGGGTAAAAATACCTTTTCATTAGCATCCCCCTCCTTACTGTTGGCATATATAACCCTTTGGAAACTTAGTTAAAACTCTCTGAAAGTTTTCGCATCCAAAGTTCTGAGAATAATAGCCATATTAGCTAGGTGGAGTTTGGCTGCAAGTAAAAGAAAACCTGACTACATGTGGCTTAAGCAATAAGAACCTTGATTGTTTCACATAACAAGTTGTCCATATGGTTCAGCAGCTTATTAATGCTGGGCTCCAAGGTCACATCTCTGTGGCTCTCCTGGTCCCTTCTGTAGTCATCCAATGCCATCACATCCCCTCATGATGGTATTCAACACAGGAAGTAAAAGGTTTTCTTTATGCACATTTTTATCAAGTTTTATTTGAAAGAGTTGCAGAGAGAGAAGGAAAGACACAGAGAGAGGTCTTCCATCTGCTGGTTCACCCCTAGATGACTGTAATGGCCAAAGCTAGTGTCGCTCCCGTCTTCGTGGAGGAACGACACAGGACCCTGCGCTGTTCTTTCGTCTGCTCAGCCCTCCCCGGGTTTGCTGCTGGTTCTTCCCAGGTTGGCTACCGACCCTTCCACCTCCGTGGAAGGGCGGTTCCCCCTGCCACATTCCCCACTTCCACGGGGGAGCGGCACACCGCCGGCCGGCTCTCTCGGGGGCTGCACAGGTGTTCCTTCAGATAGATGTTCCCCTTAGATGTTCCTGGTGCATGTTGTCTCTCTCCTCCTTTATAGTCCTCTTCCACCAATCCCAACTCTGCTACCCACACGCTGAGTACGCTGCTCTCCTCCAATCAAGAGCAGGTCCCACAGTTTATTGGTTGAACTGGAGGCAGCTGTGTAGAAGCTGTTTCCCTTCTCAGCGCCATATTGTGGGAAAGCAGATGCATAGAATAAGTCTTAATTCCAGTAACTTAGTCTAGTCCGAGTTGCTCCCCACAGCTAGGAGCCAGGAGTCAAGAGCTTCATCCAGGTCTCCCATGTGGGTGGCAGGGCCTAAACACTTGGGCCATCTTCAACTGCCTTTCCCAGGTACATTAGCAGGGATCTGGGCTGCAAGTGGAGCAGCTGGGACTTGAACTGGTACACATATAGTATGCCAGTGTCACAGGCAGCATCTTTACCTACTATGCCACAATACCAGCCCCTCTTTATGCAGTTTTTAAATGTTTTTACTCAATTAGCAAAAGCTATCCTAGAAGATACAACAATTTTCCCTTAGGTTCCTCCAGACTTCAGCCATGTGCCATGTCTCAACAGGACAGGAGAAGGGAATATTATGATTGGTTTATACCACTCATGATTCAGCCCCTAGGGCTGGAAGAATGATCCCCCTGAATGCCTTGCATCCGTACATCTGGACAAAATGGGGTGTTGAGCATCTAGGACACAAAGGAAGCCATCATAAAAAAATAACTAATGGGGACAGCTATTAGTTACAGAAACCCAGCTATGCACCAAGCATATGGAGAATTCCACTCGTGGCTCTCTATGAGGGAGGTGCTGTTACTCATATTTTACAGACAGGAAACAGAGGCAGAGGCGTGGAGGATTCACTTGGCTTCCTAATGTCATGCAAATAGCAAGTTGGTAAATACGCCAGAATTTAAATCCAGGCACACTGGCTCTACAGCCTGTGTGATTAATCCCTAAGCTGTGCCAGCTTCCCCTCTCTGGGGTCTGCCACCCTCTACACTGGGCAAAGACTGTCCTGGATAGTCTCCAAAGTGAGGTGTTAGACTAGTGAAATGAGTACATGGACACTGAAGTAAAGTACTTGGCTGTGGTTGCCAGGGCACAAACCTAGTGGTTAATTTCTAATAATAGCAATAATACCTGTTGTAGGTCAGAGGTCCTTAGCATCATCCCAATTGATCATTGCAACATCTGGAAAGTTCAATATTCTTCCCCCTAATCCAAAATGGAAAAGAGGACTCAATTAACTTGCCTAAGGAAATCAGAACTTAGAGCTGATTTCTGTTTTGCATATTCTGAGGTCCAGGTTCTTTCTCTTGCACACTTCATCCTATTATTTTTTTTAAGATTCAGTTATTTATTTGAAAATCAGAGTTACAGACAGAGAGATGGACACACACAGGCACACAGAATCTTTCACCTGCTGGTTCACACCCCAGATGGTCACAATGGCCAGGGCTGGATCAGGCCAAAGCTAGGAGCCAGGTGCTTCTTCTGGATCTCCCATGTGAGAAGCAGGGGCCCTGGCACTTGGGCCATCTTCCACTGCCTTCTTCAGGACATCAGTAGAGAGCTGGGCCAGAAGTGGAGCAGCCAGGACTCAAACTGGCATCCACATGGGATGCCTTACCTGCTATGCCACAATGCCGGTCCCCATATTTCATTCTACTTGTAAAAATGTATTGTTTACTTGCTTGAGAGGAGTAGAGAAAGACACTGAGAGCTTGCATCCATTGGTTGCCTCCACAAATGCCCTCAATGGCCTGGGCTTGGCAGGGCTGAAACCAAGGGCCAGAACTCAATCCAGGTTTCCCACACAGGTAGCAGGAACCCAAATGTTGAGCCAACACCTGCTGCTATTCAGGTTGTTCAATAGCAGGTAACTGAAATTAGGACTTGAACCCAGATACACTGATAGGGGACGTGGGTGTCTTAACTGTTTTTCTTAATTGCTAGGCCAAACACTTACCCCTTTTAAAAACAAAACAAGGGGCTGGCTCTGTGGTGCAATGAGTAAAACCGCCACCTGCAGTGCTGGCATCCCATATGGGCACTGGTTCGAGACCCAGCTGCTCCACTTCCAATCCAGCTCTCTGCTGTGGCCTGGGAAAGCAGTAGAGGATGGCCTAAGTGTTTGGGCCCCTGCACCCTCATGGGAGACCCGGAAGAAGCGCCTGGCTCCTGACTTCAGATTGGCACAGCTCCAGCTGGTGCAGCCATCTGGGGAGTGAACCAGCAGATGGAAGACCTCTCTCTCTCTCTCTGCCTCTCCTTCTCTCTCTATGTAACTCTGACTTTCAAGTAAATAAATAAATCTTTAAAAAATATATGAATAGAGTTTACTTCTATATTAGTCAGGAATCAGCATGTTTAATGAAGAAGGAATTGCACCATTGGAATACCAACCAGGCAGAATAACTACTTGAGGAGTCAGAACTCATGAAGCTATGTTAATTAATTAAGCAGTGGATTTAATCTTGGGAGGAAGAAAAGATTACGCAGCTGATTCTTAATGTAAGACTGACAAGAGTTTGTTTCTACTTCTGTGACCATAGTCACTATAGGGATAGGCTCTGTGGCCCAGCATGTTAACCCTCTTCTTAGGACTTCTGCATCTTATCATCAGAATGCCCGGGAGAGAGGCTCTTCTTTGCTTCCAATAAATTTCCTGCTAACATACCTGGGAGGCAGCAGATGATGGCCTATGTGCTTGGACTGCTGTCTCCCATTTGAGAGACCCTGGTGGAGCCTGCAGCTCCTGGCTTTGGCCTGGCTCAGACCCAGCTGCTGCAGACATTTAGGGAATGAACCAAAGGATGGAAGAGTCTCCCCCTCCCCTGCCCTGTCACTCATCTGTATCAGTTGCTCTCTATCACTCTGCCTTTTAACTAAAATAAATCTTTAGTAAAGAAATATTTATTACATCCTATCCAGTTTATAGGAAGGTAATTGATATCCCATTCTCACTCTGAGACTTTGAACTTCCCAAAGGCATCGTATTTTCCTCCTTTCTTGATTTTCCATGTTGTCCAGGACAAGTTTGTAGTTGGTACATGCTCAAGAACGACATGTGGAATTTAAAAAATAGCACTTCTTTTCTTTTTTTTTAAAACTTTTATTTAGTAAATATAAATTTCCAAAGTACAGTTTATGGATTACAATGGCTCTGCCCCCCATAACATCCCTCCCACTCGCACCCCTCCCATTTCCCACTCCCTCTCCCAATCCATTCACATCAAGATTCATTTTCAATTATCTTTACATATAGAAGATCAATTTAGTATATATTAAGTAAAGATTTCATCAGTTTGCACCCACGCAGAAACACAAAGTGTAAAATACTGTTTCAGTACTAGTTATAGCATTACTTCAAATTGGACAACACATTAAGGACAGATCCCACATGAGGAGTAAGTACACAGTGACTCCTGTTGTTGACTTAACAATTTGACACTCTTGTTTATGGCGTCAGTAATCTCCCTAGGCTCTAGTCATGAGTTGCCAAGGCTATGGAAGCCTTTTGAGTTCGCCGACTTCGATCTTATTCAGACAAGGTCATAGTCAAAGTGGAAGTTCTTTTCACTGGGATCTCACTCACAGAGATCTTTCATTTAGGTTTTTTTTTTTTTTTTTTTTTGACAGAGTGTCTTGGCTTTCCATGCCTAAAATACTCTCTTGGGGTCTTCAGCCAGATCCGAATGACTTAAAGGCTGATTCTGAGGCCAGAGTGCTGTTTAGGACATCTGCCATTCTGAGTCTGCTGTGTATCCCGCTTCCCATGTTGAATTGTTATCTCCCTTTTTGATTCTACCAGTTAGTATTAGCAGACACTAGTCTTATTTGTATGATCCCTTTGACTATTAGACCTATCAGTGTGATCAATTGTGAACTGAAATTGATCACTTGGACTAGTGAGATGGCATTGGTACATGCAACCTTGATGGGATTGTATTGGAATCCCCTGGCAGATTTCTAACTCCACCATTTGGGGCAAGTCCGATTGAGCATGTCCCAAATTGTACATCTCCTCCCTCTCTTATTCCCACTCTTATATTTAACAGGGATCACTTTTCAGCACTTTTATTTTGGAACAATTTTGGAATGACTGAAAATTTGCAAATGGTTCCTATACACTCTTCACTCAGTTTTCTCGGTGTTAATATTTATATAATTTTTGTAGATTTGTCAAAACTAAGAACTAAACATTGGTGCCACATTAACTAAGCATATGCCACCAACTTTCCCACTGATGTCCTTTTCTGTTCTAGGACAAATCTACACTACCATGTTATATTGAATGCTTCCAGGTGTCACATTTTTGTTGAAGATCTTTTGCTACTTTAAATGTCCAGATGTGGCAGCAAAAGAGTCATATATGCACATACAATTTCTATGTGTAATAATCCTTTTTAAAAGATTTTACTTGGCTGGCACTGCAGCTCAATAGGCTAATCCTCTACCTGCGGCGCCGGCACCCCGGGTTCTAGTCCTGGTCAGGGTGCTGGATTCTGTCCCAGTTGCTCCTCTTCCAGTCCAGCTCTCTGTGCTGTGGCCCAGGAGTGCAGTGGAGGATGGCCCACGTCCTTGGGCCCTGCACCTGCATGGGAGACCAGGAGAAGCAACTGGCTCCTGGCTTTGGATCAGCGTGGTGTGCCGGCCACAGCACCAGTGAACCAATGGGAAAAGGAAGACCTTTCTCTCTGTCTCTCTCTCTCTCACTGTCCATTCTGCCTGTCAAAAAAAAAAAAAAAAAAAAGATTTTACTTATTTGAAAGAGAGAGAGAGAGAGAGAGATCTTTCATTTACTGGTTCACTCCAAATGACCACAATGGTCAGGGCCAGGCCAGGCCAATGCCAGGAGCTTTGCACTCCATCCACGACTCCCACATGGGTGCAGGAGTCCAAGCACTTGGGTCATCTTTGACTGTCCTCCCAGGTACATTAGCAAGGAGCTAGACCAGAAGTAGTGCAGCCTAGAACCGATGCTTACAAAGGACGATGGCATTGCTGGTGGCTTAATCTGCTGCACCACAATGCCGGCCTCTATAATAATCTTAAAAATAGCCAGCATGTATTGAGTTCTCACCATGTACTGACTCAGTTCTAAGTGGCTTGCATATGTTACTCCTTTTTGTCCTCACAAAAAATCCTATGAGTAGGTGCTTTTATTAGTGTCATGTTATGAATAGGAAAGGCAGAGGGCATTCATGTCATTTAGCCATGATTAAAACTCAGAAAGTCTGACTTTCATATGTTACATAGAATTGTATCTTAGGTTAAGCTGCAAAGATGTGAAAGGATTATTAGTGCCTTGTTTTGCTAATGTGCTATGATGAATGATAAGGCTGAAAAAGCTGCTATTCCTTCGAGATTGGTGGGGGGGTGTCTATTTTTCCATCCACTTTTGATGCATGGAAAAACAGCAGCATGTAGGGGTCATCATGCTTTTGCCAAAACAGAACTGAAACTCCTGACACCTCACCTCAAGCTCCCTTCACATCTCATACACTAGAGTGTTCTGCCCAAGCTTGGGATATAAATGATAAATGACTACGGGTGGTCATCATTTTTCCCCTTCGTCAACCTCTGCCTGAGGGCTTGCATGGCTGGGAAAGCAGAGGCGATGAAAGAAAAGAGTGGAGGTGGACTGGCACGGCCCCGTGGAGAGGCTCGAATGGCAGGCAGGCTGGCATCTCCCCGACACAGGGTGTTCTAAATGTGTCTCAGTTACAGACTCTCAAGCTCCACTTAACTTATAATAAGAAGGTGAATAAATTATTAGCCATGAGCACCAACAAAAATCCCAAAATGCATGAAGCTCATTTCCTAATGTCCTTTGAACTCACCATTTTTCTCTTTTCTCTTACTATTCAACACAGCAATCTTATGAACCATTTTAATTTGGAAATTCCCAGTGTAAGCATACAGATTCATTGTCCTAGGATAATAGTTACAGTTAGTGGCTGACAAATTATTTCATGAACAGGCTCTCATGTTTTCTAATCAATTATGGCAGTAGGACCAAGGAGTTCTGGGGTGGAGAATGACAGTCTGAAAAAATAACTCATGGTCCCTCTATCCATTAATTCTTCATTCAATAAACAATGCTGACTCCTGATAAACACCAGCCACTGAGGCATGTCCTTTCCATCAAGAAAGGAAGACAGACATGGGACTAAATCACCAACCTACTGTTATAGTTCCTTTAAAGGGAA